TTGTAGGAATGATCGAATCATGGTCCTGACAAAGTGTTGTTATTTTTCGGGTCAATCAGAAATACAATTTGGCTGCCATAGCCGCTATTTTGCTTCTAAGTTCTAATACGCCGATCTCACTTAAAATTGGTCTTGGAATGATCAGCTCATGGTCCTGACAAAGTTAAGTTAACATTATACTATTTTTTACTCAAATTGGTACATATTTCAACAACAAAAATAAATACTGTAGACTCAGGTGACCGTTAAGGCCCATGGGCCTCTTGTTTAACAAACATGTGAGTAGCGAAGATAAAATCAGATAAAATGGTTCATTTTAAAAGCAGTCGCATTGTATGTGTAGATAATAAAAAATAAAAAGGGGGTTAAAATAATAAAACAGATAACGAATAGATGATATGGAATATGTGATGTAAGGTGGGTAAGGTGGGTTAAAAGACATCGGTCTATAAAATAGGCCGATGTCTTTCAAATAGCAGGGGCAACAACTTCATATCATATACAAATAAAGGGTTTGTATTTAGATGTTTATTTTGATGTGATACCAGATTTGTATTAAGATGTTTGTTTTGATGTGAGTATTTAGATGTTTATTTTGATGTGATGCCAGATTTGTATTTAAATGTTTATTTTTATGTAATACTAGGTTTGCCAAGATGTGTATGGAAGCATACCTTGTGCTGCGTGAGAATGCTCATCTCCTTATCAACCTCTTCACCATGATGCTCTCCTGTGGTATACCAGAGCTACAATCTCTTGACGACATCAGCTACCTCCGCAAAACCCTGGCTGTGGAGAAATCAGAACGCGATGCAGTGGAATATTTCTCTAAACAATTCAATATTGCTGTTGGTGAACAATGGAAACAGAAAGTAGATTGGTTCTTCCACAATGTCAAAAACATGTGATGGAGAGAATACCAGACACGTGTGATGGACAGAAAGTCAGGCGCTTTTGTTGAACAAATTGTCAGACATAAGTGTTGAACAGAAAGTCAGACACATATGAACAGAATGTAAGACTCTTGTGGTCAGAATGTAATGCAGTGACATATTTATCCGGACAATTTGATATTGCCGTTAGTGAACAAAGGAAGGAGAAAGTAGAATGTTCTGCCACAATGTCAAAAACATGAGATAGACAGAAAGTTGGACATGTTTTATGAACAGATCGTCAGACACGTGTGAACAGTACACCCAATACAAATATGATAAACAGGACGTAAGGTAAATGTGATAAACAGAATATTGGACACATGATAAAAAGAATGTCGGATGCTTCTGCTGAACAGAAAGTTTGAAAGGTGTGATGATGAACAGAACATCTGGCACATGTGATTGAAAGATTGTCAGAATGGAACATTATGTCGGGTATACAAGATAAAGAAAATACCAGGCGCGTACTGAACATAAGGCATGTTATAAACAGAATCTCATACGTGTGAGGGAAAGAATGTCAGGTGCATTTGGTGAATAGAACTTTAGACGTGGAGTAGAATGTTTGACAGGTGTGTTTGAACAGAATGTCAGAAATAATTGATGTTTAGAATGTATTAGGTATATCTGATGAATCAAACGAGCTTCATTCATGCAGGAAGAATGTAATGTTAAACACACTTTCAACAGAATGTTTGTAAGTAAGTATACTTATAGTAAGTGTGTGTATGATAGTGGTTGTGAGGAATAAATTTATATTTGTTTTATTTCAAATTTGCTGCTGAATTCTCTGTTCCTTAAACAATTCAACATGATCAGAATGAATTTGAATAGTTAGATGGTTAAATGTTAAGTTATGTTCCATGTTTTCCCCCTAAGATGTTATGACTGTATTCAATCCAACAAGAACCGGTATAGAACTCATATTAAACTCATCACAATACTGCCTGCTACCTTTAATGAAAAACCTCTGACCATTTCAAAACATGTTTAATCAATTAATACAGAAAAGTGGCATCCCATTGGCTTGATTGAATATATGTAGACAATGATGAATGAATCAAACCAAAAGTAGATAAAACAATATTTCCTTTTTCCTTTTCTGTATATTTTTCACATAATATGAGTACTGTTTAAGTCTGAAATGCTGTTTCAATATAACGTCTATAAAAACCAATTGTTAGATATTAAGTTTAAGCGGCCTACCTATCTCTACTTCAAGGTGCTGAATTCAGAAACACGGCAACATGTCTTGTCTCATTTGGTGTATATTGAATTATTTTACATTAGATTTATATTTTAGGATTTATTAGTTGAATGATAATTAATAAGATTCAATTATATAAATATTGAATCATGCAGTTATATTGTAACCATACATATTGGTACCAAAAATTAACATTGTGTTATTCAATATTTAATTATATTACTTGATTTATAAGTTAAAATATATTGTGTTATTTATTTGATGTATTGTGTGGTTCAGTGGTTGATTATATTGATGATTCAATTGTTGAATTATGTTGTATGATTCAATGTTTGAATTGTGTTGCATGATTCAATTATTGAATTATGTTGCATGATTCAACAATTGAATTATATAGTATGATTCAACGGTTGAATTATATTGTATGATATCGATTCAATGGTTAAGTTATGTTGTATGATTCAATTATTGAATTATGTTGCATGATTCAACAATTGAATTATATAGTATGATTCAATGGTTGAATTCTATTGTATGATTCATGGTTGAATTCTGTTTTATGATTCAATGGTTGAATTCTGTTGTATGATTCAATGGTTAAATTGTATTATATGATTCCTATTACATGATGCATTAGTTGAGTTCTGTTATATTTTTCAAATAGATTATGTAGTATATATGTGATTAAATTGAGAACAGTATTCATAATATATAGCTATTTCTACAATAGCAGTAGTCCGTATCCATTAAGTCTCAAGAGCCCTAGGTTGTTAGTGTGTGTGTGACCTCTGACCTTCAAGGTTATGTATCAGATGCAAGCATACCAATGTTTACAAATAATATGTATACTAACTATGTAGGTTATTCTACCATAATGAAGGTTTGTAATACAATATTGCTGTAAAGTTACTGAGGATATTAGCCATGTTGAGGTATGCAGCTGAGCCTCGTTAATCCAGCTAGCACTAATCTGGCTGTCCCAGTACCCAGCCTCCATAATCCAGCTAGCACTAATCTGGCCGTCCCAGTACCCAGCCTCCTTAATCCAGCTAGCACTAATCTGGCTGTCCCAGAACCCAGCTTCCATAATCCAGCTAGCACTAATCTGGCTGTCCCAGTACCAAGCCTCCTTAATCCAGCTAGCACTAATCTGACTGTCCCAGAACCCAGCCTCCTTAATCCAGCCAGCACTAAACTGGTTTTCCCGCTATCTGGCGTTTGATTCATGGGGCAATATCTTCTTGGAATTATTTCACAAGGATCTTATAACTGGCTCTGTAGGTTTTTGTTCCAATAGATAGTTTTTGAGGGTGATTTTTCAAGTCAGATATGTATGTCAATTTATATGTTAAGGCTGTATGGTACCTAAAGGTAAAGATACATGAAGATTTACACATAAATGTTGTGTGTATTTTAATTGGTAATTCATTTCTAATTCTACAAGGAACTACAGTATTCATTATAAATTGTTAATATCTCACAACAACTACAAAAGTATCAATCTTTCTGCTCTAAAAATATTTTCAAACTATCCACACTTTTGACAAACAAATTGTGTTCTTTTAATATTCCTGACCAAAACTACTTCGCCCATGAACTGTTGTAGGTAAGGCCCGTGACCATATGATCATAAAAGTACTATACCTGACTAAAACTACTTTACATGAGTTGTTAGGTAAGGCTCGGCACCTTGTGATGATAATAGATTCAGAGCTGATAAACTGTCAGAAGTGGTATAAACTTGTCATGTTATGGTGTGGACAGGTGGACTAGTGTAAGGCGTAAAAATAAATATTATCAAGTTTTTGTATATGTGCTATGTACTGTAATACATACATGCCAGAACTCACGGCGTGAGGCCCAATCTCACGGAATTTCAATTCCGATAAAGTCTCACGGCGTGGGACACAAAATCACGGAAAGTCACGTAAACCTCACGGTAATTTTATGTTGCACTTCAATGAATTCTGTAATACACACACAAAAACAAAAACCCAGACCTCACACAGGTGATAAATGCAACTTTAATATAGAGTTGACAGACATGTGGCATAGTAATCTTTTGATTAACTCATTCACCCCTGAAATTTCATAATGAACTATTCCAACATTTGAATTGGAAGAGTTCAAATGTGTCTTCAGGGGTGAGAGAGTTAAGAGTCATTTCATAAACTTTAGGTTCATTATTTTTGTCAAACAGAATAACAGGTAGATCTCCTTTCAAAATTCTTAGGACCAGTTGGAAATAACAATGAAATCTGGTGTAATGAAACTTTGGGACCAAATAACATCTTAAAATGAAATTGAATGGGGGCCAACATTATATAATTATTATTTAGTTTTTGTATATTTCGTTAATGAATCACAAGGTCAAAGCTAACCACCGAATTGTATAGAATTGCCAAATTGAAGATTTGATGTTGGTGATATATACATATAAAACTATACAGAGACCAGGAAATCTAATGTGAGGCTATTGTGAAATTTAAAATTGTAGGATATTTCTTAACTGCAGATTCCTTTCGATCGTAATGTCCGTTTCATATGAATTTCGTATTTATGATTGTCCTAGTCCCTAGGATAGGACTAGAAACCTTAGGTTCTCAGTGTACATAAACACACTTTTGTTATGATCGACGTTAGCCAAGGCTATGACCGCTACCGATTGTGTTTACTTCAGAAGTGGCGGGGCCACATGTACAGGGGGGGGGGGGACATTTAACTCAGAAGCAGCTAAACAGATTATCCAAAATATATCTGTATAATCAGGTTCTATAAGTGCAAAATTTATTTCGAATTATGATCCAAAATCCTACCTATTGTGACATCATAGTCCAACATCGTATTCAAAGTCAATTTTACATCAAAATTTGTATTTACATTATTTTAACAGATCATAATTTTTTTCTAAAGAAATGGTTGATTGTAGAGATATGAGAAAAATGATGACTTGTAAATGTTTGATTTTCCGATATTGGGGGATGATATTTTGTAACGTCTCCAATCACAAATCTGTTCGCATTGCTTCCATTTATTGATTTGTCATTTCACATGACATAAATGGGAGCAAAGTTCTGATTTAAATTAGATTTAGACCAATGATCGGGGTTGTTTCAAAATATCATTCCTTCACCGAGAAATTCTGTCGTACACAAAACGTGTATAATCCTTTCTCAGTGCCACAGTGTGGTTGTAGAAGGTAAGGGTTGAGCTACACATGTACAGCACAATTCACCCTGACATTGTCCCTGTCTTTGTGTATTTTATAGGTTGTTGGTTTGAACATGGTTGTCACTATTTACTACAAATCTTCAAAAGTCCATGGGCTTTTACGTTCTCTGTGCCCCATATGTCATGAAAACTCGAAGGCCTGTATACGCCACCTTGGGGATGAAACAAGTGGACCAGTTTGATATTTTGATATACCTCAGACAGAAGAATTGTGCCGAAACATGATGGGAAAATTGTCAGGCTTTGAAGTCAGGTGTTGCTGCGCAAAGGACAGATATCGGCCTAGGGTTGGTCAATGTTTATTTTACCAGAAACAAATCAAATAGCTAGCTATGTGCCTTCGATTTTGTCCTGACATAGTGCAGGGGTGCCGAGAACGTAAGGGAGCTAACTCATGGACTTTCGGGGATGTATTTACCGTTATATATACAATGTATGTACAGTGTATTTATTGTCTGCAGTTGTTTACTGTTAAAAGGTGTGAGTGCTTCTTTACCGAATGGTTGTGACTAGTTGTTTATACACAGAGTGCTTGATTTTGGAAGTCTTTTCCCAACCACAGCACACATTATATACATATTACCATCTTACATTAATAGAAATTACATTTAATAAGATGTTTAACTCTGTTTATATTTCATTTCAAATTTCTTAATCAGAGCTATACGTTTTTCATTTTTTTTTTCATTTTAGCAAAAACTCAAGAATGCTGTTATCATATTACCTAGAATTATGCAAATATTCACAATATCGTTTTTCTTCTTACTGCCCTCAGTTCACTTCAGCATGATGCTGCTATCTGTTTGTTATGTTTATTGTTTTGAATACAATGAAAATTATGACTGCATAGTCCTGTGACAAAGTGTCCATTATATAATGTTTCTTACACCACAGGACCAACACATTAACCTATTTACACAATTGTCCAACAAAGGTCATATTCTCAAACAATTCCAACCAATGTTTTTGTTCTTGTGTTCTTTACATATTTTTGATTGAATGAATAACTTTATGAATGAACCTGGCAAATGGAATATTATTTTTGTGAAAATATAAATCACACATTTATTGTATATCATGATGACTAATTATCATGTGCACAAAACCAACAAATAAAAAACTATGAAGAATTCATTTGTTTTTGTGAAAATATTTTTCTGATGTTGCCAAAGGTCAAATGAACTTGTAAGCTCTTCTGACCATCGCTGTTAATAGGACGTAAAACACAAACAAACATTCCCAAACCAAAGTGACCCAAAGGGCCAAGTGAGGTTATGCCACGGTGGGGCGTCTGTCGTCCGTCCAGTCTCTGTCCGGCATCAACATTTTCATTTAATAAACGACTTCTTCTTGATAACCAAAAGGGCTAGAATGATGATATATGGCCAGTAGCATGCTTAGATGAAGGGCAACCAAGTTCGTTCAAATTAATGTTTTCGCCCATATTTAAGGTCACAAGGGTCAAATATGTTTAAATCTTTAAACAAATTCTTCTGAATAACCAAAAGACCCAGAGTGAAGATATTTGCCCCATAACATGCTTTGATGAAGGGCTATCAAGTGTGTTCAAGTGAATGACCATCACCCATAATCAAGGTCACTGGGGTCAAATATGTCGAAACCAGATTTATATTTTGCAAATGAATAAACTTGTTTTATTTTCAAGGTCAAAGAGTTCATCGACGACACCTGCGATGTAAATATATGTCAAACCCAAGTAGTTTCACGTCTTCAATCGAGAACTCGGGTAGTGACAGCAAAACCAAAATGCTCACATATGAACATAATAAATACATCGTCCTTCCTATCAAATAAAGAAAAAACACGTCACAAATTTATATTGTGCTAGAAAATGAATGATGCGAGAAATTCATTCTAATAATCTGTCCGAATTTATTGAATTAACTATTAACATTTGATTCGGATATCTAAGATGAGAACGATTTTGATTACAAGTCGATTGCTTGATAATCAAATTTTCATACAAACATGATATACGGTTTATCAGCACAGACTTGATTACGAGTGACACATTTGTCAAGATTAATGTTTTACCTTAAACTTCCAGAATGACTGCTTTTATAATATTCATAATATTGTTTCGGCCATTGACAGAAATGAATATTCGTATGTTGTATTTTGCGACCTCTCCAGGGCGTTTGATAAAGTATGGCATACTGGACTGTTATTCAAGCTTCGCCAGTATGTCATTGATAGTAACTTACTTTCCTGGTTCTCGAGTTATCTGACTAATCGTCAGCAATCTGTTATCTATGGAAATAATACTTCTTCTCTTAAATGTGTATCTGCCGGTGTACCATAGGGATCTGTTCTTGGTCCTCTATTTTTATTCTACAATTCTACATTATTAATGATCTTGTTGATCCTATGGAAACATTTACTAGGCTCTTTGCCGATGATTTCTCTCTCAAAGATTCTTCTGCCGACTTGAATGTAACAGAACATGATCTAAACCACGATATTCAACGCTTACAGGACTGGTCTGATCTGTGGTTGATGCAGTTCAATCCCGCTCAGACGGAAGTAGTTCATTTCACGAAATCTAATTGTCATCTTGCATGGAGTGTTTCTCAGAAGTAGCTGCCAAAAGGACCTGATAATTTGTTACGGCTATATCTAGGCAAGGTGTTCCGAGTAACTGTACATGTTTTAGGGGTTAAGATGTTTCGGTAAAAATGACACCGCCAATAATTATAGGTAACAAAAGCTCAAGTCCCTATGGCAGCTGCAAATCGCCTGCCCATGTGTATCAACTTATTTAAACAGCTTATTCTTAAATCTGTATTAAAACAATTGAAATATAAAGTTAGTAAGGATATATTAAATACTATAGCGATAAATAGTTTTAAATGTCCATGTGACGGTAAAAATATAAATATAGCAAAACACGAAGACTAGTATAATCGGTCGATTATACTAGTCTTCGTGTTTTGCTTTAAATACTATATATATACATCTCTCATAAGACCAACTCTTGTGATGCCTCTTGTGTATGGGATGGTTGTTCTGTCAAATGCCTCGGAGAGGGTGCAGTTAGAAACAGCCAGAGTTGTATCTATTCTATTCTCTGTCGCCTCTTGTGAGGCACTTTACTTTGAAACTGGACGGGAACCTTTCAAATTTAGGAGCGCCAACTTTCTACGTTTTTAAGATGCTTAATAGACTAGTTCCAGATTATCTTCACAATTTGCTTCCTTTCAGAAGAAATTATCTTCATCGTGATTTTTGAAACCCCGATAACTATCAAATACCACGCGGTAAATGATAAATTCTTAAAAAGTCATTTATCCCTTCTCCAATAAATTTATTGCAGGGACTTGATGATTCTGTAAGAAATATAACATCATCTTCTGCATTCAATATGAAAACATCACCTGTACCACGCGTTTTACCGAAATATTTAAATGTTGGTAACCGATACCTATCGGTTCTTTAAGCACAAATTAGACATAAATGTAGTGGCCTTAAAAGTGATTTGTTCCGTGTAGGTATTTGTGCCTCACTTACCTGTCATTGCGATGATAGTAATGAAGATGCGTATCCATTATTTTTTTGTCTGCGCACAATTTTCAAATACTCGAATAGGAATATTTGATGCTCTTTTAAACATTGGTATTCAACCAGTCCCCAATCTGTATACTCTTATATGGTGAGATACAGACCTTCTATTCCAAACAAATGCCAACATCATGCTTGCTGTACAATCATTTATAAAACCAACGAAGAGGTTTAAAACCAACTATTGGACAACTATTGCAGGCATACCATTTCCCCTCCTGTCCCTTCTTTCACCTGTCCCCCCACTCCTTCCTTTTATCCTTGCTATATATGCTAAACTTTTGGCCATCACATGTTATGTCCTTTACCTACTGTGTGGTATTGTCTTTCCCATCAATAAAATATGTTTGAATGATAAACCGCGTTTATATAGAATATCTCTACCACTGAAACAGTTATGTGGAAATTACTAATTTGATTCGTCTATAAATATCAAATTCGTTATGTTATAAGCTATATAGATTGATACCGATAGATAAATGTGTCACCTTTAAAATGAGACATAAATGTAAAACAAATGTCGAGAGGGGTTAAGTAATAAACTGGCAAACATCTAGTATAGTGTAGAGGTTATCTCCCTTACAACGTGACCCTAACGAAAAGTTGATTATAAATGTGATATCAGTATAACTTTATTGTACTTACTTGACACTATATGAATACATATGTTGAACGAAATCCACTTACAAGGTATTATGGAAACACAACCTTAAGTTTACGTCAGTCTATTTCCTTAATGAAAATCATAACTGTCAACAAACAAATTTGACAACATCGAAGGAAAATTTTAATAACACACTCCATTTGTTTCTGCAGATAAGAGCGAGAAGTTCAAGAAAAAAACCACGAGAACTTTTGGAAAAAATGAAATAATATAATGCGTAAAAAAAGAACTTTGCTTACGAGTACAATTCTACAATTAATTACATTTCAACAAATTAATAGAAGTATCAATCATTCACAACAATGAAATGTTACATGTAGAATACTTCGCAATATGGTACAACAACGTAATACTATGGAAAAATCAAGATAATACCGAGGTGTTATCAAAGCATTAATAAAGGAAATATTTACATGAAGACCCTCACAAATGTACAATTAACCAAAGATTTATTTAATGTAAAATAAAATTTTGTTCACCTTCAAATAAATCAATTTCAAACAATTAAAGATTGTCAATAAACAGCAGGAATTCAAAGTAATAGCGATTTGGACATACCTCGAACGTGTTGAAAACGACTGTAGACTGGGAAGCACGGAGGGGCACCATCATGTAGAACTCACCCAAGTTGAAATTTTTATTTTTTTTAATAATATTTCAGCACTACATCCCCTGTAAATGGCGATATATAGGCATATTTGGAACAAAGTAATAGTCTAAGTATTGGTGATGCTAGCACAGTACATAAATTCCCTCTGTTTTTGTCATATTTGATTACAGCATGTCAAATAAAAGATCTTATACCAAATTAGTGCTTTAGGTTTTGGTGCGAGGTTTTGTAATGGGATATGCAATTATTATTTTTTTGTAAATATGTACAAATTAAAAGCATTTCAGTTTATTTTGCAGCAGAATAAAATCAACTTGGTATATGTATGTCGGTCTCCTACATTGTCAGGGACTAGATAACTACATGTACATCTGGTCTGGTGGCAGTTGATATAAAAACCAAAATGTCTCAGCCAATCAGACCTCATGTGTTCATCTTTGAGTGAATTGATCCAAAAATAACAACTCTTAGCCAGTACCATGCGAGAACTATTTTAATATTTTAATAAATAGGAGAGGTCGAAAACGACATTTAAGATTTCATATAAGCTCGGGAAAAAAATGGTGGTTTTTTTTATCGGACTCAATGAAATCATTTTCATGCCAAACTTAGCTAAAACCCCACCTAATGGATAAAAATAAAAATAAAAATATCAACCGAGCTTTTCTTATCTTGGAATCTTTACAAATAAATGCTTGAGTGGTTGATCGCTTGTAACACTAGAGTTCTCCCGAAAATATATTTTAGTCTATAAAGTAAAGCCGCGAACGTTTTATCTGACGTAGGAATACACGTCTTTATACTAAGAGTATATAACACCACACATCATACCTATGACTTGTGCTAGTTATCTCATTTGTGTTACAATAATATATTTTATAAACATCAAAATCACAATTATTTCAAAGGTCATTCTAATTTCTAGTCTTTACAGATTTTACCGGATACGACTATAGTCCTTAATGAGAAATAGCACATCCGGTCTTGTCTATCCAATATTACACTCATCAAAAACAAAACATGATAATTTGGACATTGGATAATCAGACGGATATATGAGTTATTTAGTATAACGACGTGTTTACTAATTATACAGAATAACTTCGTGTTTGTAAGTTATATATCATAATGCCATACAAATTAATGTTATAGCATAACGCATTGTTTCCTAGTTACAGTGTATATAGTATTACGCCGTATTTATTAGTTATATAGTTAGACGCTGTGTTTCCTAGTTACAGTGTATATAGTATAACGTCGTATTTATAGTTATATAGTT